GATGGGACTTTATGAGCTGGAGCTGTAATCAGACAGTTAACTCCAATATGCAAATGGACCAAAACTCATAAAAGTGAGAGATCCCATGACCACCTGCCCATTTTTGTGACCATTTTGGTTCATCTTTGGTGTAGCCCTGGCTGGGCTCTTGTGCTGCCCAAGGTGGATCCACTGAGGCCTCCTAATAAATCCCTGCTTTATTCTTCAGTCTAGTCTCTGTTCTAGGTCAGCCTTCTCAAGGCATCATTTTTGCTCAGACCAGACCAAAACCGAACTGCAAACCTGTATTTTAGGGATTTTCTAATCCTGTGACCATCCAGCAGCTCCCTAACACCCCATCCCCTGCAGGGATTTCAGCAGGCAGAGCACTGACCTGTGGTTCAGAGCTGCTTTCAAGCCCCTCCAGCACCATCTCACTCACCCCAAGCAGCTCCACACCACAGCAATCCAAACCCATTTGCAGCCTGAACCCGAGGCAGGCTCTGCTGAAACCCCACAAAGCTTTTCCCAACAAACCACGGGGGAAAAAAAAAATCACCCCCGGAGCGCTCAGCCAAGCTGGTGCACGCTCAGGTTTAAAAATGCTCCGAGCATCTGTTTTTTGCAAACTCCTGCTGTCCGCCCTCACGAATTATTCCAGGCTGCTGGGAGCTCTGTGCGCTGCCAAGAGCCTTCCCTGGGCACTCCAACCCATCTCCTCAGCATTTCCAAGATCTTCTCTGCCACTTTTCCCAAGCTCCTGCAATTCCATGTGTTCCCAGCTGCTTTTCCAGCTGAACTTTTGGGTTTGAGTGCATTTTTTCCAGGCTCTGATATTCCCTTTCCTCTTGTTTTCCTATTCTAGCAGCACAAATGCTGTAACTGCTTTTCTAATAAATAAACTGCTAATAAACTGCCTTTTTAATAAATAAAGTTATTTTATGTTTCCAAACCAGTGGAAGAGCCCCAAGATTCCTGTGAGCACCCCCAAAATGCAATTAAGCTACACCAGTCACTGCTGTGCCTTTTAAAACATGGAATGCAAAACTATAGAAATTAGCAAAAAAACGGGTTTTTTTCTTGTTTATTCAAACCAGAACACGACATTTTGATATATTTTTCCTGTAGAAAAATGTCTCACAGTGCACATCTCCAACACCAAAAAAAAAAAAAAACCAAAAACCAAGCAGTGCCAGGCATAAACAAATTTTTAACCTGAAGTGAGAATAAACTGCCATGAAAATAAAACCAAAGATAATTATTATTTGAATGATTGGATACTGAATTTGATAGAGCTTTGTTATGTTTAAACAGCCAAGCTCCCTCCTCCAGCTTTACAGAAGTCAGGATTTGTATTTTGGAATTAACTGGGAAAAAAGTCTGTATTTATTCCCAAATATTCCTGTTTTGAGGAGTTTGAACACACAAAGCCCATGCTCAAACATCCAAAGGATCAGACTGTGGAATCCCACAGCAGCCAGCCCAATTCCAGCCTCTAGAAGGAAGAATTCTGCAGGGAAACTTTGAAAAAATAGCAAAAAGGGCTTGGGGTAAGGCAGACCCAAGCTGTGAGGGCTCCCTGTGCTTTGCTGCCCCTCCTGCTTTAATCAAAACCCAACTCTAGAGGAACTGGAACTGTCCTGATTAGAGAAAAATACCCCAAAAAATAAAATCTCACTAGTGGAGCCAAGCGCAGCACGCGTGTGAATTTCAGGAGCTGCAATAACGACCAAAATGGAAATAAAATCATGAAATAAAACCCATGATGGGCTCGAGGGTGACAAAGCCACCTTGGGCTGGGGACATAAAGCAGCAGAAACAGGGGAGATCCTGCCTGGAGGAGGAGGAGGAGGAGGGAGAGAAGCACTGGTGGGGAGGAGAAGAAGAGAACTTTGAACGTTCTCCTCGCTGCTCAGCCCACACTCAGGCTCCAAAAATGCTCCCATTTATCTGGGCACCAGGAAAAGGCACAGCAGAGCTCAGGTGCTGAGGAATGAACGAGGTTCAGCGGTCACAAACAAGGATAAAAGCAAAGTTTTTCAAGAAGAAATTAATTTTCAGAATTCAGGATCAGCTTAGCTAATTTTCCTGATTTTATGGTCACTTTCATGCTGGTTTCTACCAACAGAAAATCCATATTCTGGTTTTAGCCAGCTGGTTCCTTCTCCATCCATGCAGAGGATGAACTAAACAAGCACCACCTGCATTAATTTGGTTTTATTTTCCCTCGTGCCCAGCTTAGAACAACCCAAGCAATTTTAGGGTTTAGAATGGTGAAGAATTCTCTGCATTTCAGCTTGCTTGCTCCCACTCCAACTCCTGTGTTGCCGTGCTAAAAAACCACTGCAGATTTCCCAGACTGGGGCAGCCCAAGCAGCAATTTCAGACAATAAAATAACCTTTAAATCCCAGCCACTCTGGGGTGGAATTATCACTGCACTGAAGCCTTTGGTTTTCCAGCTGCTTGTTTGGAAATAAAGATATTTCAAAGGTGAAACAATGATGGAAAAATCACGTTTTCCTTTCCTCCATGCTTGGAAGCATTAAAGTGATTTTCCAACAGCTGCCCTGAGAAAGTGCAGTTAAACACAGATCTTCCTGACTGGCTTTTTCCAGCTCTTCCTCCTCATCCTTCCCCATCTCTCCCCCAGTTCCACCAGAACTCTGCTCTGGATGTAAGCCATGAGCAGAAACTGATCATTTTCCCAGCAAAATATTCAGGAAAAGTTCAATTCCTGCCACATTTCCCTGAGATCTTAAGGTCTTTATGCAAGAGCTTTCAAAATAAAGCCACCCGAAAAATAAAACCCTCAAAATAAAAACATCTCAAAATAAAACCTTTTAAAATAAAACCCTCCTCCCAGCTTCAGCAAGAATTAATCCATAGGTCAGCCTGACTCCAAATATTCTGGGTTGCATTAAAGCCTGGAAAGATTACTGGGAATTCAGCAGTGATCTCCTGCTTTTTTCCCCACAAACTCTCAGCATTCCAGTGGGGATTTTCTGCTCCAGGTGAGTTCCAACAGGTACCTGGCCATTCCTTCACCACCCCGGCTTGGACTATTCACCTTTCAGCACTCTGATGGTTCCTCATCAATAAAAGATAACAAATTCCTGCCCTTTGGGATCCTCCCTGCCCCTTCAAAGCACACACCCATAGGTGAGAAGCTGTTTCCAAAGGAGATCTGAAGGAATATCCACAACTCGGGAAATGGCTGGACCTGTTCTCCACCCACAGAGGAATTGTTCTGTTTCAGGAAGCTCCCCACGGGCCATTATTTGCTGAAAAAAGCCCAGTTCCTCTACAAATGGGCCTTTTTATATTAAAAATGGGGCAGCAGTAAACCTTAGTCACAAAGGTCTCAAAACCCTTCACCTGGCTTGGGGTGCTCCGCCCCTTCCCAAGCAGATTTTCACTCACCTGAAAGCGTGAGCTCCCACAGCACTAAAGAAACTCAAAGGGTCTCCCTCACCACATCATTAAAAATAACAATTAATCAGCTTCCAGGACACACCAGCGGGCTGCAAACTCCCTCAGTCCAAGATCACTTTGGTGAGGACAAAGCCCCTTTCCAGCTCTCCCCAAAATTCTCTTTTTCACCGACCACCAGACTCCTGAGTGCTGCCAAACGCCAAATGTTTGCAGCGTCCCACAGCCACCGGGGATTGTCACCCCAGCTGCTGGCACCTGACACCTTCCCTGCACGAACACACGACCCATTTCCATTTAACTCCTTCCCTCCCAAGGCTGGAATTTCTCTGGGAACTCAGCAGTGCCACGGGGAGCGCAGAACCACATTGAACCCACAACTCAGCCCATCCAGCCCCGTTCCCGGATCCCTAAATCCCACACAGCTCCAGCGGGGTGTTCCCAGACTGCCTCACTCTGCAGAGAGCCTCCGGTTTGCACTGACAGTGCCCAGCTCTGGTTAACAGAGACACAAAGGCCACTGCTGGCTTCACGCTGCAAAACCTGCACGTGCTCAGGGAATAACTCCCACCTGGGATCTTTAGGACAGCACTTTTCCCATCTGGATATCACTGTCAAACACCCTGAGAGGCTCAGTGCTGGCCCGGTGGAAGGTGTCCCTGCCCATGCCAGGGGGTGGAATGGGATGGGCTCTAAGGTCCCTTCCAAGCCAAACCAGGCTGCGAAATTCCACACTCGTGCGATTCCAGGATTCCCCTGGAGCAAAGAGCCAAGGCGAAATTCCCCTCAACAGCCGCGAAACTCTAGGACTGAATATCATCCGCAGAGCAGAAAGGAAGGCGATAGAAAGGAGGATGAGAGGATGAAGCTAAGGTGGGATCGCTGCCTGAGAGAGGCAGCCCTTCCTCGTGGGCAGGTTTTCCCAGCGGATCCTGCCGCAGGCCGAGCTCCCTCCCTCTCCAGGCAGCGCTGACCGTGATGCTGCACCAGGAGCACACAGGCCTGCCAGGAGCACACAGGCATTTTCCTCGGCGCTGCGGGATTTCCTTGGAGCGGGAGCTGGGCTGGAGCAGCCTCTTGGCCCCGCTCCTCTCTGCCACTAATTGTCATGCACTTGGCTGCGAACTCGCCGGGGAGGAGGCAGCCGCGCTGGATTTAGCTCAGCTAGCCTACAAGGAGCGGAGAAGGCTTGGGGTGTGGTGGGTTGGTTGTTGCCTTTTTTTTTTTTTTTTTTCCCCTTAATTCCTTCTTTTACTCTCCTATCAGAAGGACCTCTCTAGTTGCTAAGGAACTACGGGCTTTATTGCATTATAAATGATTTAGGGCGGCCCGGCAGATGCAGGTTCAGTAGGCGGGAGGAGATGAGATGTTCCATTTTACCGGCGGCACCAGGCGCCTCAGGAGGAGCCGGGGGGGCCGTGCCTGTCCCCCCCCCTTTTCTCCTCCTTCCCCCTTTCCCTGAGGGGCCCCAACTCACCAGGGATTCCCCCCAAACCCGGGCTCGCCCCCCACCCGCGGGGTTGCCCACAGCGCACCCGCCGCCATAGCAACGCGCCCCCCCGCTCCCCCCGCCGCCGCCGCCCTCCCTCACCGTTCTGCGCCGCGGCGGGTCCCGGCAGCAGCGCGGCCGTCACCAGCAGCAGCGAGAAGGCGGCGGGGAGCGGCCCGGAGCGCGGCATCTTCCTGAGGCAGGGGCAGGAGGAAGGCGAGGAGGCTGAGGCGGCGGCGGGAGCGGCGGCGGCTCCGTCCGTCCTTCTCCGCCGACCTCCTACCGCAGCGCAGCGCCCGCTCTCGCGAGATCCGCCGGGGGCGGGGGGCGACGCCGCCGGGGAGGGGAGGGGACGGGCGAGGCGGGGGGGGGGGGGGGGCGGCAAAAGGGCCTTTTTATATTAAAAATGGGGCAGCAGTAAACCTTAGTCACAAAGGTCTAAAAACCCTTCACCTGGCTTGGGGTGCTCCGCCCCTTCCCAAGCAGATTTTCACTCACCTGAAAGCGTGAGCTCCCACAGCACTAAAGAAACTCAAAGGGTCTCCCTCACCACATCATTAAAAATAACAATTAATCAGCTTCCAGGACACACCTGCAATCTCCCTCAGTCCAAGATCACTTTGGTGGGGACAAAGCCCCTTTCCAGCTCTCCCCAAAATTCTCTTTTTCACCGACCACCAGACTCCTGAGTGCTGCCAAACGCCAAATGTTTGCAGCGTCCCACAGCCACCGGGGATTGTCACCCCAGCTGCTGGCACCTGACACCTTCCCTGCACGAACACACGACCCATTTCCATTTAACTCCTTCCCTCCCAAGGCTGGAATTTCTCTGGGAACTCAGCAGTGCCACGGGGAGCGCAGAACCACATTGAACCCACAACTCAGCCCATCCAGCCCCGTTCCCGGATCCCTAAATCCCACACAGCTCCAGCGGGGTGTTCCCAGACTGCCTCACTCTGCAGAGAGCCTCCGGTTTGCACTGACAGTGCCCAGCTCTGGTTAACAGAGACACAAAGGCCACTGCTGGCTTCACGCTGCAAAACCTGCACGTGCTCAGGGAATAACTCCCACCTGGGATCTTTAGGACAGCACTTTTCCCATCTGGATATCACTGTCAAACACCCTGAGAGGCTCAGTGCTGGCCCGGTGGAAGGTGTCCCTGCCCATGCCAGGGGGTGGAATGGGATGGGCTCTAAGGTCCCTTCCAAGCCAAACCAGGCTGCGAAATTCCACACTCGTGCGATTCCAGGATTCCCCTGGAGCAAAGAGCCAAGGCGAAATTCCCCTCAACAGCCGCGAAACTCTAGGACTGAATATCATCCGCAGAGCAGAAAGGAAGGCGATAGAAAGGAGGATGAGAGGATGAAGCTAAGGTGGGATCGCTGCCTGAGAGAGGCAGCCCTTCCTCGTGGGCAGGTTTTCCCAGCGGATCCTGCCGCAGGCCGAGCTCCCTCCCTCTCCAGGCAGCGCTGACCGTGATGCTGCACCAGGAGCACACAGGCCTGCCAGGAGCACACAGGCATTTTCCTCGGCGCTGCGGGATTTCCTTGGAGCGGGAGCTGGGCTGGAGCAGCCTCTTGGCCCCGCTCCTCTCTGCCACTAATTGTCATGCACTTGGCTGCGAACTCGCCGGGGAGGAGGCAGCCGCGCTGGATTTAGCTCAGCTAGCCTACAAGGAGCGGAGAAGGCTTGGGGTGTGGTGGGTTGGTTGTTGCCTTTTTTTTTTTTTTTTTTCCCCTTAATTCCTTCTTTTACTCTCCTATCAGAAGGACCTCTCTAGTTGCTAAGGAACTACGGGCTTTATTGCATTATAAATGATTTAGGGCGGCCCGGCAGATGCAGGTTCAGTAGGCGGGAGGAGATGAGATGTTCCATTTTACCGGCGGCACCAGGCGCCTCAGGAGGAGCCGGGGGGGCCGTGCCTGTCCCCCCCCCTTTTCTCCTCCTTCCCCCTTTCCCTGAGGGGCCCCAACTCACCAGGGATTCCCCCCAAACCCGGGCTCGCCCCCCACCCGCGGGGTTGCCCACAGCGCACCCGCCGCCATAGCAACGCGCCCCCCCGCTCCCCCCGCCGCCGCCGCCCTCCCTCACCGTTCTGCGCCGCGGCGGGTCCCGGCAGCAGCGCGGCCGTCACCAGCAGCAGCGAGAAGGCGGCGGGGAGCGGCCCGGAGCGCGGCATCTTCCTGAGGCAGGGGCAGGAGGAAGGCGAGGAGGCTGAGGCGGCGGCGGGAGCGGCGGCGGCTCCGTCCGTCCTTCTCCGCCGACCTCCTACCGCAGCGCAGCGCCCGCTCTCGCGAGATCCGCCGGGGGCGGGGGGCGACGCCGCCGGGGAGGGGAGGGGACGGGCGAGGCGGGGGGGGGGGGGCAGCGCCCCCCCCCCCCCCCCCGCCCGGTCCGTTCGGCCCCGCCGCGTCCCCTGTCCCGGGGCTTGCCGAGCTCCCGAGCTGGCGGCGGGACAGGGGCACCCAGGCGGCGGGGAGCTGCCCCCTCCCCTTTCTGCCGTGCCCTCAGGGGCGCCATGGCGGAGGCCGCCTGAGGTAGCCGTTCCTCGGGCACCATGGCCGAGCCTGCCTGAGGGATCCATCCCCTCTGGGACACCATGGCCGAGCCCATCTGAGGGATCCATCCCCTCCGAGACACCATGGCAGAGCCTGCCTGAGGCATCCATCCCCTCAGGGACACCATGGCAGGACCTGCCTGAGGGATCCGTCCCCTCTGGGATACCATGGCAGAGCCCGCCTGAGGGATCTGTCCCCTCAGAGCCCCTCTGGCCTGAGGCATCCATCCCCTCTGGGACACCGTGGCAGAGCCCGCCTGAGACAGCCTCACCGCAGGGGCACGGACAGCATCATGGCAGAGCCCGCCTGAGGGATCTGTCCCCTCAGAGCCCCTCTGAGGGTCCCATCCCTTCAGGGACATGGATGGCACCATGGCAAAGCCTGCAAAGCCTGCCTGAGGGATCCATCCCCTCAGAGGCGCCATGGCAGAGTCTGCCTGAGGGATCCATCCCCTCGAGAGTCCATCCCCTCAGAGACACGATGGCAGAGCCCCTCTGAGGGATCTGTCCCCTCAGGGGCAAGGACAGCGCCATGGCGGAGCCCGTCTGAACCAGCCTGCCCTCAGAGACACCATGGCGGAGCTCCCCTGGCTGGGATGTGAGAAGCACGACACTCCTTCTCACCTCTGGTCTTTATGGGCTTAAAACACTGGTAAATACAAGGTAAGAGCTGGTATTTGGCTCTGTTCATACTCACTTCAGGAGTTTCTGTGCCTTTCTGCAGGGGCCACAGTGTGTCACAGGAACACAATTCCGCCCCCAATTGTTCAGCTTAAGGTCCACACATCCACAAAACACTTATATAATTTTAAACACCATTCTACCCGTCACTTCTGTGCTTCCGCACAAAAGATTTTTCAAGGGCTGTGTCATTTTTGCACAAGTAGGAAACTGAGGCTGCGTGAAGCAAAGGTGTTGGCTCCATGTTAGCAGTGTAGTTGTGGGCAAAGAGCACAAAAACTCACTCATGGATGACTGGACAAGCCAGACATGCTGGAAATCAGCTGTTGGTGAGCTTTGCGTGGCTTTTCTCTATTTTCCTGTCATAAATCACAGATGCCAGGTCAGATTTGCTGCTTGCTTTTGCTTTGTTCTGAGCCCAGCTGATGGTGGGGAGATATGAGGCTTGTAGGAGATCGTGGGACAGACCAGCAGAGAAGGAGACTGCAGGAAAAACCAGCAGAAAATCCTCCAGATCAGATGTTCAGCTTTCTGCAGAGCCCTGCCTCACCAGTGAGCCCAAAGTGGGGTGGGCTGGGAAATAATGGGTGGTGACATCCCAAACTGCCTTGGCTTCTTGACTTCGTATCCCTCCTCCTTCACCCTGCCCGACGATCAGCAAACAGACTCCACGTCCTTTTATTGCTGCTGTGAGTCACTGAAAGCAAGGATCAGGCACACCTTTTCCATGAAAACCCTGCTGAAATCCCTGCCTGAGCCCTTCAGGCCTTGGGTGAGGATGGCAGGGCCGAGGTCACGCGTGAGGAGCAGCACTTCTGTGGCCATGTGCTGGTGCTCCACGTCATCCTAGCTGCCCCTGGCTCCCCAGGGATGCCAGGTTTGATGTGCCTCAGAGATTCCACTGCGCTGGAGAATTTCCACGGTGCATTTCCATGACTCACTGTTGGTGCCAGCTGATTCATCTGTGTGACACTACCCTGCTTTTTCTCACCGTGGCGTGGAAACATCCTCTTTGTTTCCCTTCTGTGTGGAACAATCCTGACAGCAGCCCTTACAAACCACACAAAAAGGGGAACAGAGACCCAGAAATCCACTTTTACCCAGCGCTGCCCCTCGCACTGCTCTTTGCACTCTGTTTTCCCAGGATTTTGCTGTAACTCTGCTCCTTGCAGACACCCACTCTCTATTAGGCCTTACCTCCAGTGCCTGTTTTCCAAGTTTGGAAGGAGTGAGCGCTGGAAGCAGGCTCTGGATCTGCTCAGCAATCCTTGCTCCGTAACCATGGCAGCTCAGGGTGACTCACGCTGCCACAGGCCCGAGCCCAACTTAGCAGGAGGAATTTTTTCCCCCCCTGCTCTGCCACCAGCTCGGAGTTTCTCTCCACAGTTGCATAACTCAGCTGTCACTTGTGTTCCTCTGGCTCTGCCCTGCTGTCACCTGCAGCATCCCTGGAAGGTCTCCATTGGAGGTTGTTCCCCAGGCAGGGAATGAAGGCTCTGCACAGCCTTCACAAATCCATGGATTTGTGATCATACAGCACAAAAAAACAGAGCAGAAAGTCCCCGTGGCCAGGAGATGTCCTCATGGGTCTGATCCCGAGTCTCTTGGAGCACAGAAGTCCTACAAATCCCTAAAATTTATAACAAAGTACTCAAGTATGCAGCCATATAAAAAACCCTCGTGTTGTCCCATGGATGAGGGAGTTCTGCAGGAAAAGGGGATTTACCAGCCCTAGATCCACCACGGTGGCCTGGTAGTGAGGAAGACCCTGCGATTCCAGCAGATGGAGCCTGAGCAGGGTGATGTGTTTGCCTGGTGTGGGAATGGTGATTCCTGGCCTCAGGAATGCCGGAGAAAACTCAGTTTTCTGCAAAGTTTCCCAATCCCTGCGTTTTCCCTTCAAGCAAGACCCATATTTTCACCTGGAGGGGGGCTCAATTTTGATTATTCTCTGCTTATTCCTTCAGAACGAGGAAGACAGAAAATCGTGGAAGCCAGACAAGCAAAGAGGAAGCAAAAAAAACCCCTGTAATCAGCAGGAAATTCAGGAGAGTTTCAGTTCTGAGAGA